TCTTTCTATCAACCTCTAGGTTTTTCCCCCTTTGTCCTTCCAATTCTCATTCCCATTCTGCTGAGGAACTAGACAGTGAGCAGCTTGTGGGGCTTAGCTGCCTGCTAGAGTTAACCCACAACAAGGAACAACTTAGACAGCTAATCATCATGGAAAAGCCTGGAGTCATCAACCACCCCGCAGCAGCAAAGATGTCATTGCAATAGCTTTGGCTTTCTTTTCAAATGAAGCAACAGCCTTTCCCTCTACAACACCATACTTCTAAGAGATCAATACTTCTAAGTATCAATACTTCTAAGAGCACAATCTCAGAAAGCTACAAAAGTGGCAATCACCAGGGTAAGGGATTGGTGCAATGTGCCCTGCAATGTGCCATGAGTTGTGGCTCACCTGATGCTGTATTGAAGGCCAGAGTTCAGCCAGCCTCAGCAAAACCCCAAGTGTCGCACAACTGATAAAAGAGGACGTGCTGGAACTCGTTGGCTACAAGCCTTGGGAGGAACAAGATAACAAGATTGTCTAGAAGGAACAGAGAGTGCTTACTCTGTTGAGGAACACAGGGAGTAAATTGTGTTGAAAAAAGGATATGCTAATAATTTTGTGATTTGGGCAAGGAAGGTATGTTAGTATTAACCAATGAATAAATGCCTAATGTTTTAGAACTAGCCAATCATTAGAAGACATGCTGTTTTTGCTATGGATATAAGGAACCTAAGAAATCCTAATAAATCGACAACGACATCTTGCTTGCATCAAGCTGTGTCCCGTCTCTCAATTGCACCAAATTGGTGACCCCGACGCGATGAACTGCCTAGCTGAGCGGCATGCTGCGAGTCCCACAGAACTTTGAATGAGCTGCTGAAAGGAAGCAGGAGCCGGCCGGCCTGAAATCCCTCTGGAATAGAGAGGTGAGCTGTGGGAAACATGGGGAATCAAGCGTCTTCCCTTGAAACCGGTCGCGGAGCAGCGACGCGCGCAGACACAAATACCGCAGCCGATGACTCAAAACCCCCGGAGGGGGGCAGCAGTGCCTCAAGTCTTCGTCTAGCAACAGCCGGTAGCGCCGGATTGGACCTGGCAACCACCCACACAGTAACAGTACTCGATTCCTCGGTTCACCTACTATCAATGAATGTTTCGGGGCCCCTACCGCCTGCAACACAAGCGTTACTGTTAGGTAGATCGTCTACAACCTTGTCAGGACTCTTAGTATTACCAGGAATCATTGATTCTGACAGTACTGATGAGATTAAGATCATGGCATGGACTCCGTTTCCCCCCTGCACAATATCGAAAGGTAGCCGTATAGCACAATTAATATTGATTACCAAGGAGACAGGCTCCCCCATTTCTACCCAGTCCCAACAAAGGCGGGAAGGCTTTGGGTCTATGGGGAACCCACAAATTTTATGGGTGCAGTCCATTTCCCAGAAGCGACCTGTATGTCAATGTACCCTTATCTGCAGGGGACAGCAAGTAGTGCTAAATGGAATTATCGATACTGGAGCTGATGTTACGGTAATTTCTCAGGCTAAGTGGCCCCCGCAATGGCCTCTGGCTAATGTTTCCCAGGCATTGGCAGGGATTGGAGGAACTGGTAGTAGCCAACAAAGTTTGGAATTGATCCAAATCAAAGGCCCAGAAGGGCATATAGCCTCTGTTAAACCTTTTGTGTTACCTGTTCCTATGATTCTGTGGGGGCGTGATGTGCTGTCACAATGGGGGACTCATTTTTAGATGGGGCCATTGAAGTGCCCGACACCCTAAAATTAACATGGAAAACAGATTCCCCTATTTGGGTAGATCAATGGCCCCTACCGTTGGAAAAGCTTCGCGCCCTCCAAGAACTAGTTACGGAGCAGTTAACGAAAGGGCATATTGTGCCTTCTACTAGTCCTTGGAATTCACGTGTTCTTGTAATTAAAAAACAAACTGGCAAGTGGCGCCTGCTCCATGACCTCAGAAAAATTTATGACGCTATGGAAGATATGGGAACCGTCCAACCAGGACTCCTACTATGATTCCTCGAAATTGGCATTTGACTGTTATCGACCTTAAAGATTGCTTTTTTAATATTCCACTGCATCCAGACGATGCTCCTAAATTTGCTTTTTCAGTCCCAAGCGTCAACATGCAAGCCCCATTGCAAAGATACCAGTGGGTTGTGCTGCCATAAGGAATGAAGAACAGCCCTACAATCTGTCAGTGGTATGTAGCTAAAGTGCTTAGTCCTGTTAGGACCGCAATGTCCAGTGTTTTATTGTATCATTATATGGATGATATCCTGGTGGCTGCGCAACATCACGAGGTCATGGAGGAAGCTGTAGCCCTTGTCACGGCTGCCGTTGATTCGGCAGGCCTCTGTATTGCACTGGAAAAAATTCAGAAAATGCCACCATGGAAATATTTAGGCTGGCGCATAAGAGCTCAAACTATAATTCCTCAATCTTTACAGATAAGAACAGATATAAAAGACTTACATGATGTGCAAAAATTACTGGGGACAATCACTTGGGTTCGACCACTGTTAGGGATTTCTAATGTGGAATTGAGTCCTTTATTTGAATTACTTAAAGGGGATGCAAATCTAAGTTCCCCCCGTAGCCTTGGCCCTGAGGCCATTGATTCTCTGCAGAAGGTTGCTGCAGCAATTGCTCACCGGCAAGTGCATTGATGGGCTCCTGAGTTGCCCTTTTACCTAATCATTTTAAATCCTGCTCGACAGCCTCATGCACTGATGTTTCAATGGGATCCTCAGAAACCAGATCCACTATTGATCATCAAATGGGTTTTCCTGCCAAACCAACCTACAAAAACTATCTTAACACAGCATGAGATGTTTTCTTTCCTCATCATTAAAGCTAGACAGCGTCTGTTAACGTCAGGAGTCGATTTTATATCCATTTGCTTGTCTGTGACAGACGTGTATTTACAGTGGCTTTATCAGCAATCAGATGCCTTTTGCATAGCGCTGGCGGGCTACACAGGTCAACTTACATCTCACCTCCACATAAACTATTAAATAGCAATTTCTCTCTGATACTCAAACCAAAAAGGAGTGATTTGCCACTACAAGCCCTCACTGTATTTACCGATGGATCTGGAAACTCACATAAATCGGTCATCTTGTGGTGGAATGACCAACAGGGACGATGGGACTCAGACATAGAGACCGTCCCCAGTTCTCCTCAAACAGTAGAATTGACTACAGTCATTTGAGTCTTTCGAAAATGGTCTATACCACTTAATATAATTACTGATTCTGCTTATGTTGCAGGAATTGTTGAACGTGCAGAAGCGTCTGTACTGCGTGAAGTTTCACATTCTGGCTTATTTGCTTTATTACAGGAGCTTATCTTCCTTTTAGATTCACGCCCTCATCCCTATTTTATCATGCATGTCAGAGCACATACCTCTTTACCTGGATTTATTGCAGAAGGAAATCGACAAGCCGATTTATTGACACTACCGGTACAAGTATTGCCAGATCGTATAGCGCAGGCTAAACTCAGCCATTCCTTCTTTCACCAGAACGCTGGAGGTCTCAAACGGCAGTTTGGGCTCACTTCCCAGCAAGCAGCAAATATAATCACAGTATATCCGGACTGTCAAAAACATTCTTTTCCATCAATAGCGGGAGGAGTTAATCCCAGAAGACTGCAGAGCCTGCAACTGTGGCAAACAGATGTTACGTACTGTCCGGAGTTTGGTAAATTGAAATATGTACATTCCTCTATTGACACTTTTTCAGGTGCTTTGTTTGCTTCTTGCCACACAGGGGAGAAGGCGCGTGACATCCGCAAGCATTTGATGCGTGCTTTTGCTACCCTGGGCATACCCTCTCAAATAAAAACGGACAATGGCCCTGCATATACCTCGGCTGCAACAAAAACCTTTCTCGACTCCTGGGGTGTGACACACATTACTGGCATCCCTCATTCTCCTACAGGTCAATCCCTAATAGAACGCTCTCAGCAATCTTTGAAACGTTTATTACAACAGAAAGGAGGAGTAGGGACTGCTACTCCGGAGGAACGCCTACAGAAAGCTTTATATGTTTTTAATTTTTTGAACTGTTCTTTGTTAGATAATAACCCTCCAATAGTTTAACATTTTAACATGAATGCTTCACTTGAGGCAAGAATTAAGGCCCCGGTGCTGGTTTGAGATCCTGAAACAGGTAAGATCATGGGACCATATCCCCTTATCACATGGGGCAGAGGTTATGCTTGTGTCTCCACAGAAAGAGGCCCTAGATGGCTTCCAGCAAAGAGTGTACGGCCTTTCCGTGAATCCCTACAACAACCAACCACTGAAACCCCTGATTATTCTCTGGATCATCCCTCCAAGCAGCAAATTGACAGATCTCCAGAGGAAGGTCGGGACAACGTAAACTGAACACTGCAGGCGAAAAAGGACTATATGTGAACCAGTGCAAAGAAGTATTAGTTGCAGAAATTTCTTGTACTTTTTGTAATACCTGTGACCCCTGGGTCCTGTGTACATGTCTCACTTGTAAGAAGGAATGGTGGTGTAGGGCGACGCTTGCTACCTGTCTGGTACCTGCTAATTGGTTTGTTCTCAAAACAGACTGGAGCCAGACAAAAGAGAAATGCAGGAAGATGCCTGGAAATTGCAAAAGGGAAAATTCCCAGGGCAAAATCCCCTGTCCATCCCGTGTTTAGAAAAACCACTGCATGGTGTAATTATACGTCAACAAACCTATTTAATCTGGTCAAGTTCCACTATCCTTACCACCGGGAATATTCCTTATTTGCGGGGACCGAGCAGGGCCTGCAATTCCCTCTTATATTAAAGGAGGTCCATGTAGCCTTGGGCGCCTTTCTGTCTTAACTCCTAACACCTCTACGATTTTACAATATTGTCTTTCTCATAGAGCAAAACGTGGTATTCATGCATATACCCCCGATTGTGATGATAACCTGGATTTTTGGACTTTTAGTAAATGCTTCTCTGCCCCTTTCTTGTTACCTGGCGCAGCCGCTGGAAAGGCCTTGGCAACTCTGGATAAACTTGGCTGCTGGCTTGCTAAACAGACTAATGCTAGTAGTAATGCATTATCTGACCTTTTATTAGATGTTGACAGTGTTTGACATGCTACACTGCAAAATAAAGCTGCTATAGATTTTTTGTTACTAGCACAAGGCCATGGATGTGAGGATTTTGAGGGTATGTGTTGTATGAATCTTTCTGACCACCCAGAATCGATTCATGCCAGTATTCAACAGCTTAAAGCAGGAGTTTTTAAGCTCCGGCAGGATGATAGTTGGGATTGGCTAGACAAACTTTTTGGAGGATGGGGTTTGTCAGGATGGTTATGAAGCTTTGTCAAAATGGCTGTGTATGCTTGGGTTCTCTTTATTCTTTTGTTACAATGCCTATAGAAGTTAATTGAGAGATCTATTAAGAAGATTCTTGTTGTGCAAAAGGAAGGGGGAGATGAAGGCCAGAGTTCAGCCAGCCTCAGCAAAACCCCAAGTGTCGCACAACTGATAAAAGAGGACGTGCTGGAACTCGTCGGCTACAAGCCTTGGGAGGAACAAGATAACAAGATTGTCTAGAAGGAACAGAGAGTGCTTGCTCTGTTGAGGAACACAGGCAGTAAATTGTGTTGAAAAAAGGATATGCTAATAATTTTGTGATTTGGGCAAGGAAGGTATGTTAGTATTAACCAATGAGTAAATTCCTAATGCTTTAGAACTAGCCAATCATTAGAAGACACGCTGTTTTTGCTATGGATATAAGGAACCTAAGAAATTCTAATAAATCGACAACGACATCTTGCTTGCATCGAGCTGTGTCCCATCTCTTAATCGCGGCACTGCATCAGCATGGGGGTCCCCGCATCAGAAGAGATGCAAGATTTTACCACTTCCTTCTACCTATCTTGAGATGTTCATCAAACAGAACTGTGTCCTTGACCACCTTGAGCCCTGGGAAGGGGATGGAGCATCTAGTCCTTGAAACACCATTTCCAGGAACTTGAAGGACAAATGAAGGCCAGAGTTCAGCCAGCCTCAGCAAAACCCCAAGTGTCGCACAACTGATAAAAGAGGACGTGCTGGAACTCGTTGGCTACAAGCCTTGGGAGGAACAAGATAACAAGATTGTCTAGAAGGAACAGAGAGTGCTTGCTCTGTTGAGGAACACAGGGAGTAAATTGTGTTGAAAAAAGGATATGCTAATAATTTTGTGATTTGGGCAAGGAAGGTATGTTAGTATTAACCAATGAATAAATGCCTAATGTTTTAGAACTAGCCAATCATTAGAAGACACGCTGGTTTTGCTATGGATATAAGGAACCTAAGAAATCCTAATAAATCGACAACGACATCTTGCTTGCATCGAGCTGTGTCCTGTCTGTTAATCGCGGCACTGCATCAGCATGGGGGTCCCCGCATCAGAAGAGATGCAAGATTTTACCACTTTCTTCTACCTTTCTTGGGATGTTCATCAAACAGAACTGTGTCCTTGACCACCTTGAGCCCTGGGAAGGGGATGGAGCATCTAGTCTTGGAAACACCATTTCCAGGAACTTGAAGGACAAGAACATCATCAGGGCTAGTCATGCTTGACCAAGACAGTAATCTCCTGTAAAGCAATGACTGGCTGTGTAGATGAGGAGAGAGCAGTTGATAATGGTTCCTTTTACCTCAGGAACGCCTTCAACACTGTTTCACCAACGACATCTTGCTTGCATCGAGCTGTGTCCTGTCTGTTAATCGCGGCACTGCATCAGCATGGGGGTCCCCGCATCAGAAGAGATGCAAGATTTTACCACTTCCTTCTACCTATCTTGAGATGTTCATCAAACAGAACTGTGTCCTTGACCACCTTGAGCCCTGGGAAGGGGATGGAGCATCTAGTCTTGGAAACACCATTTCCAGGAACTTGAAGGACAAGAACATCATCAGGGCTAGTCATGCTTGACCAAGACAGTAATCTCCTGTAAAGCAATGACTGGCTGTGTAGATGAGGAGAGAGCAGTTGATAATGGTTCCTTTTACCTCAGGAACGCCTTCAACACTGTTTCACCTAAGATCCACCTACAGAAGCTGAGAAAATGTGGGCTGGAGGAGCAGACAGTGAGGTGCGTCAAGAACTGTCTGAATGCCTGGCACCAGGTGGCGGTGATCAGATACAAAAGAGGGCTGTGCTGTCATCCAGAGTGACCTCGCATTCTGGAGGGATGGGCTGACAGTTCAACAAGCCATAAGGCAAATTGCTTCATCTGGAAAGGAACAACCCTAAGCACCAGGCCAGGCTTTGGTCCCCCAGCTGCAAAGCAGCTTTGCAGAAAAAGACCTCAGGATTGTGGTAGACACCAAGTTGCCCATGAGTCAGCAATGGGCCCTGGTGGCAAAGAAGGACAATGGTATCCTGGGCTGCATTAAACACAGCATTCCCAGCACATCAAGGGAAGCGATCCTCCCCCCCCACCCATACGGTGTCAGCCTTGATGCGTGTTCCTATCTTTATACAGCTCCAGGTGCTGGGGAACTGGTATGGGGCTGCATTAGCTGGCTCATCCAAATGGTATTACTCTTCCACCTCTCTCCCAGCCAAGAAGGAGAGCCTGGAACTGGATGTGAAAGAAGGATGAGCCACTTCTGTGTCACTGTTCAGCAGAGAGAGATCTCACTGATGACAGAGAGTAGGAATAGGTTTTTCTAGACCCAGATTAAATTTGCATACAGTTGCGGGAGAGTCCACCCAGTCCCCAGAACCAGAGCACTCGTACGTGATCTGTAGTGCCTGATCATGCTGTGGCTGCCAAGTTCACATGGCAAAGTCCCTGAAAAGGAATTGAGTATCATCTTTCTTGTGACTGCAGTGCACGTGCCCTCAATCCCTCTTATATTCCAAACAGCAAAGAACTACAGCGAGCAGTTCACTCAGAACATGCAAAATATTGCATGAAGTGTTTGGAGTGCTACGATTGGGAGGGAGAATTTGAATGTCCCTCTGCAGAAATTCTGAAACCCCGCTCACAACTGGTCAGTCTGCTGGTGGCACAGGAAATCCACAGATTGGCACCCGCAGTGGTCAGACTGCAAACAGCTGCTTTGGCAGCACTGGCCACTGTGTAGACCACAGGATGCTGTGTAGACCACAGGGGCGCAGGGCAGAGCCTGTGGTCTATGTAATAGTGCACATTGTCCTTAGGTCAGTAGGCAACTGGCTGCTACAAAAGAAGAACAGCCAGGCTGTGAAAGTCATCACTGGCCACTACCTCCAGGATTTGGAAAATACCGACCATATCTGTAGGCCATGCCCCGCTAGGCCAAGTCTTTCTGCCAACACAACTGCAATATCAGGAGGCCAAGGGACTGATAAACCTCTGTCGACACACAGTATGGGACACAATTATCCTCTGTGTGACACTGGCATCAAGGCTTTGTACCCATACATTATTTATTCCATGGCTAGGCCCTTCTATATCTGCTTATACCATCAACATCGAAGAATGTCAGGAATGGGCTGTGGCAATACGGGTGTCCTCGCATAAAGTGCCACAGAAATCCCATGCACACCCTGAACCTCTTTTGCCCTCTGCACACCAGCAGAGATGTACCTCAAGAGCCCCACAGGATGAAGTAACATCCCACAAAATGGAAAACATCTCTTTTAGTCTGTCACCAGTCCATGGACCTCCTAGTAATGTGCATCTAGACATAGGGGGACTTGACACATATAACATGCAGAGACATCATGTGACCACAACAGCACCACTGCATATTCAGAGAACAGTACCAGGAATAGAATAATAGAACCCTTAGAATCATATAGTATTTCAAGTTGGAAGGGACCCACAAGGACCATTGAGTCCAATTCCCTGCTCCTCACAGGACTACCTAACACGAATCCATGTGACTAAGAGTGTCGTCCAGAGGCTCCTTGAACTTTGACAGTCTTCATGCCCTGGCCGCTTCCCTGGGCAGACTGTTCCAGTGACCAACCACCCTGGCAGTGAAGAACCTTCTCTTAATGTCCAGTCTGAACTTCCCTGACACAGCTTCGTATCATTTCTATGTGTCTTGTCTCTTGTCACCAGAAAGAGATCAGCACCTGCCTCTCTGCTGCCTACCTTGAGGAAGTTGTAGACTGTGATGAGGTCACCCCTCAGCCTTCTCTTCTCCAAGCTGAAGAAACCACGTTGAAGTCTTGCCCTCAAGGCCAGTCACCATCTTGGTCACCCTTCTCCGCCCTTGAGTCCTTGCACCATCTTGGACACCCTTCTCTGGACACACTCTAAGTTTGGTGTCCTTCTTATATTGTGGTGCCCAGAACTGCACACAGTACTGAAGGTGGGGCTGTACTGCTGCAGATTAGAGTGGGACAATCAGCTCCCCCGACCGGTTACCTGTGCTCAGCTTGATGAACCCCAGCATATGGTTGGCCCATGTGCACAGCAGGGCACAACATTGACTCCTAGTCAACCTGCCATCAAGTCAAACCCTCTCATCTCTTCTGCAGGGCTGCTCTCCACCCTCTTCTCCCCAATTTCTACATATAACCAGGATTACCCTGTTGCAGATGGAGAATCCAGCACGTGCTCTTGTTGAGTTTCATACAGCTGGTGACTGCCCAGCTCTCTGGTCTGTCCAGATCTCTCTGCAAGGCCCCTCTACCCTCAAAAGTGTCCACAGCTCTACCCAGTTTATTATCATCAGCAAATTTACTCAATCTACATTTGATTCCTGCCTCCATAAGACCATTAAAAAGCACTGACCCTAAAATTGAGCCCTGGAGAGTCCCACTGGTGAGTGGCCACCTGCCTCATGTAACCCCATTTACTGTAACTCTTTGAGATGGACTCAACACACACTTGCTCACCCAAGGTATTATGGACTTGTTGAGCTTTGTGGTGGACATTTTATCCAGAAGGATACTCTGAGAGGCAGTATCAAAAGCTCTACTAAAATCCCAAATTCCCTACATCTCTTGGCTTCCCTTGGTCAACTTGGATGGGTGACCTTGTCATAAAAGGACTTTCCCTTCTTAAAAACTGGGACAGCATTTGCCAGCATCCAGCTGTCTGGGACCTCTCCAGACTCTCTAGACCATTGAAAAAGAATGGAGAGGGGACCTGTGATAACATTAGGCAGCTCTTTCAGTACCCTGGGATGAAACCCATGGGCCAGAGTGTTATGTGCATCCAGCCAGAGCAATGAACATGAAAGGCTATGAACTGACCCAAACCTCCATTCCCCATTGGCCACTGTGCCTCTCGGGGAGAGGGAGGGAATGGAAAGGTGAAGTTGAGCATAGGGAAAAAGACAGCAGGCAGGGAAGATGCTTTCTTTAGGGTTATTCGGTGGTTTGGGTTTGGTTTCTTTCATTCAATTCTAATCATCAATAAATAAAATTGCTACAGAGTGCAGGTAAGGCCAGGAACACTTGCCATGCACAGTGATGACTCCTCACTGCCCTCAGCGATGTCACAGACATGGCAAAACTTCCCAGGCCCCCTAGATCTCAACAGCTGGGCTGGTAACAAGCAGGTTTCTGATCAAGCTCAGCTGCGTTTCCTGTCTCCGTGCGAACAGCACAGAAGTAGCGGGCAGAGTCACGGGGGCTCAGGGAGCGCAGGGACAGAGACGATTCGGAGCGGGAATC